TTTTTTGCAGGTTTCCTCACTTAGATTCTGCTCTGCTGCTCAGCTCATTGTAGCAGACCTGTCCAAGTATGTAGCCACAAACCACGACTTTAAATGAATAGTTTATACAGAATATTAATCTGTCCTATCTCATCAGACATCTGGACAAAGAAGACTTTCACATACTCAGTGGTTGGTTAACGTAAGCAGTATTTATGCCTAATGGTACATTTTTTGCTTTAAAACCCAGGAAGACTTATTTGGTATGAATGAACAAGTAATCAGATTTATCTTTCACCCTGTCACCTTAAACTTTATTAATGCAACAACTGTTGGAAGAGAGACCAGAAGGTCTGAAGTTTGAAGTCTGGAAAGCAAACACTACTTTCAGCTAATATTAAGAAAGCAAATGATTCCAGTGTATCCAAACACAACCAAACTCGGCAACCACTTGAACAGAAGGCAAGGAGAAAAAAAAATAAAATTCCCTTGGCTTCTATGCTGTGCTAGCTTCAGTTTACAAAGCCACACATCGGAGTAGAATATTCCTACAAAATGGAGCCCAAAGAAGCAGAGCTGTTGGAATTAGCTTTCACAAACAAAAAGCCTTAAGCAGAAATGTTTAGAAAACTAAAAGGAGCCTTCAAATGACACTTTTAGAGGCTGAGCTGCTTAAAGCTAATGACAGGAGAAGGAAGAGTGGAGAATACAATGTTTTGAACCTGATGGGAGACAGAACTGGCACAGTGAGAAGGAAGACAAACTCAGAGAGAGGGAATCGGCACATGGTGACAGATGTAATGAGAAAGATCTGATACAAACGGTTCACGTGAAACAATACAAAGAAAAAGGAACAGACAGATGCATAAAACCCACACAATTTCACTGCTTAACTGCATACTTGAGAGAAGAGACAACACTGAAAAATACAATTTCATCTTTTATTCTAAAAGCTGTATTTTCCAGCAAAGCAGATAAGGTCAGATTAATCACTAACACAATTCCAGGTCATTTGGCAGACTTGCACTTGTCAATATTAAACAAATACTACATTCAAACTTAGGATGTGGTCCTAAGATGCCAGGCTAGCTCCCTGCTCTCTCAAGGATAATCAATAACAAAGGATTTCGCAGGGTAATTTTGTCCTCTGAGTAACACAATCCTTAGAAATACACCTTAAGAAAGTTACCAAAGCATCATGCAAAGGCAGCAGTGACACAATGCAGATGAGAACACAATTGGCTTTGTAAGATCGAAGAAAGAAAAATATATAGTGATTGACAGCTGCTACAAAAGAAAAGCTACAGGGTAAATCTTACCTGGGGAAAAATGAGAGTCAACAAATGCATAGCTCTATGCTTTTAAGGCCCTTGTTAGTCCGAAAGAAAAAAACCAACCAGTGGCAGAAGACTGGCATAGCCTCCTTGATTTACAGTTGCCATCAGATGGGACATAGGTAGAAGAGGGAAAAGAGGATGCATATTTAATGCCCCGAATTCTTAGTTTCTAATACAGCCAGTAAAACACACTCAAGCTACCTGGACATCACAGTACCTAAACGCAACTCTGCAAGCTTCATGTACTTAGTCTTCTCTCTACTTCTTCTTCTCTTCTAACACTGCTCAGTAAGGTTTCATGGGAGGAAAATCTAAGGGCAGAAAAGGGTACAGGAGACCTGGCAGTTCCCAAATAAATGGTATCAAGATAATGAGCTCAAATTATGCCATTGGAAAGAAAGGATAGCAAGCGTAAAAAGGGACCAATCTACCAACAAAGAGCTCTTCAACGATCTCAGAAGAGAAAAGCATGTAAGTAATGGAAACAAGGACCGATTATTTAATTATTAATTAGGAGCAGCAAGAGAATACAGGGACCATATCAGAACCAAAAGAGGAAAACAGTATAAGCAGCAGTTGACAAGAGCAGGAAAAGACTGCTCTAAGTGCACCTGCACTAAAAGAAAAAACAACAAACAAGGGAAGCGTTCCTTATACAAGACAGAAGAAAAACAACTGACAGCTGATGACATTAGAAGTGAACTGTTCAATGACTGTTTTCACGTCAGTATTCCCTAGTGATGGCAAATGAAACTGTATTCACATCATTTACTAGGCAGAGATCTTTCTTTGTCAAAGAAAAGAATAGGTTAGAACACAAGCTTCCTGAAGTCTGATGTTCACAGGTTCTCTAGGCCCCAAAGACGTTTCTACAGGATATGTTAAAAAATTATGTTAATCTTCTATTAATAAAGATGTGTTAAAAAAGTAGCCTCAGAACCAGAAGTAGTAGTAGCAATATTTGAGAACTGACAAGCTCAAATGCCTGTTTTTAAACAGAAAGACAGGGAATAGGCAAAGACTTCTTGACCAGACTCAATACCACTAATTTTTAATTCTAAAAAATATTTTGGAACAAGTACTCAAACTCGACTCATTTATGCTTTCCACAGTACCTGACACAAGTTGACCAAGAACAACTTATGTTAAAATCCTTTCTTCTGCAGTAGTGTAATGAAAAAAGCAGTAAATGAAGTTTCTTTATCTTGACATCTGACTATCACAAGACATTCTTACAAGAAAGATGAACACAACTCAGATGAAACTGTTACTGTATGAATGCAGAGCTAGCCAGAAAGGAAAAAAAATAAAACCACAGTCTACTGTCAAAACAGAAAGCTGTAAAGATGTTCTGCAGAACTATGTCCTAGGATCAGTTCCATTGATAATCTAACAATCTAGATGATGAAATTAATAGTTACTATGGAGCTTGAGTGTCTCCCAGATCTACTGAAGGTCAATATTCAAATTAAAAAATGATTCTTGACAAGTTAAAAAGTTGTCTAGAAAAATACAACATTTAATACTGGTAAGTAAAGGAATCATTCAAAACTCCAGTCTGAATCAGTCACTGCAGCAAACATGGTATCAGATTTTTGTCACCTTGAATGCCATAACATAGCAAAGGGCTATAAAGTACTACACATCGTTTAAAACACATTATTTACATCACACAGCAGCGATATAACCACTGAGAAGGTGTTGGATTTAAAAATAAATAAAAATCCTCTTCTTTCCCCCCAAAGAATTCTTCACTTACCTCAGTTCTATGAATCTTCCCCATGTTTCACTAACTTCAATTCAGAGATTGGGCAATCTTTAACAATTTAGAAGGGAAAAACACTGCCATCACCTGGAGCAAGTGAAGCTAGCAGTTCTCTGAATGCCTGCGTTTTGTTCTTCATCTTGCATTGTTTCCTACACACCAAAAACTACCTCAGGGACTTAGCCATCACCATCAGATGTTACATTTAGACATACATGCAAAAGGCTACAGTGGTATAGCACTTGCAAGATAAATATTGGTGGCGTAAGTTCAGTAACAACATGAATCAAGTCCACCCATCCACCCCTCCAAACTCTACATGCTTGAACAGCTTCCTTTCAATCAGCCTTCCTCATCGAGTACAAATCCCAAACAGAAATCTCTGTAAAAGCAGGAGTGGGACCAGAAACCAAATATAGGAGCTTATTGTCATTAAAAGCATAGTAGACTGGATGGAGTTGTAGGTGACTCCTGACCTACAGTTTTCCAATCTCTCTGCTATCATCTTGCTTTTACTGTCAAGGATCTGTATTACAACCACCTCTTTTCATCCAACAGCCTTCAAGAAGCAGCTTCTGAGAACATACTAAATGCTCTGTTAGTGTAACCTCGTCAGGCGTACACCTCTGCTCTGAACAGCTGAACAGCTCATGACAGTCCATAAGAAGGTACATTGCATCTACGAAGGCATATAAAATTATTTTGGTAACTACTTGCCCCCAACTTCTATTAGTTACAGTAGTATCCCTGATACGTTGTCAGAAGAGCCTTACAACCAGGGGAAGAAGCAGCCAGTTATCAAGTAACTGGGCACGCACCCGGTATTAACAGTTCACATGGCAGGTAAGCTGCAAGCAGTGTCACATAAAAGCTCCTCCCACTCCCCAGTAACACTGGCTATTCCCCTAGTCCTCAGTTCCAGGGCTAACTGGAAGCTACCGTAGTGATCTAGTGCTCCATTCATGTCAGCTGCTACACAGCTCAAGGATACAGCTCAGTTTAAAAAAAAAAAATATATATATATATAAAATGGATTATATCTGAACTAGGACATTACACAGCTGCAAATTTTTAAAATTAGTTTTCTAATACTGACTACATAGAAGATAACATTCATACCTTTTCTTATTAATCCATCTTGGAAGTCTGAAGACTTTTTGAATGCTATAGGTGTTTAATCACTTCTCTGGAAGTGCACAACCACCAAAACAAAAGCATTAACGTCAGAAGGCTTCCATAGTCTGAGAAGCATCAGTAAAGCACAAGGGCTGAACCAGGATGAAAGCAAGCTGATAGAATATTAGTATCAGCAGGACGAAAGAGAGAGCAGTCAGGCCTAGACACACAGGCAAAGTTTAAGATGTCACTACTTGGATACTACAGCTAAATCTTACAGTACCCTTGACAAGGGCTGTTATGTCCTTCTTCTGGTCATGTGAACAGTATGAACAGTTTATTGTGCCTAATGTTATTTCCTATCTCATGTAAGAATTCCAGGTGGTTTTATGCCTTTGTCTTCTCCCTACTGGAAAGGCATTCTGCTCAGCTTCCTGAAGCTTCCTAAGGGCTTTACCTGGTTAGGAACAACTGACAGAAGAGATTACTTTCATCAGAATATTTAAAGAGTACTCTCTGAAGATGACAAAAAAGTGTTTGTTTCTATACTTTTAATTTAATTCTACAGTATTTGGCTTCCTTCTACTCTGCAGTTACAGCTGAGGTTCACAGGAATACCTCAGCTGCCAATGCTAAAACTCAGCTTTTGGGTAAACGCAAGTAAAAGAATCCTGGAATTTTTTGCCCATCATACCTCAGGTTCGCTTTGCACATTACATGTTCTTACGTGGCACAGATCTTTAGAGAAGGATGATTTAAGCTCCTTAATTAAAAAAAAAAAAAATCCTTAAAAGTTTAGTGTCTTCAATTCAACATGAAGTTTATTTTCTAAAATAAAAAAAAATGCACATTTGTAATATACACCATTTGATTCTTACCAAAGACATGTTCATAAATTTTTTTTTTTCCTTTTAATAAAGATCTCTGTCTACAGCCCCAATCCTGAATGCCAATCTGCCCAATTGTTTTTAGGCAAAAAGCTTCCACTGAAGACAACGCAGATCTGTATTGTTTTGGGTGCTGGAAAGCAAATGTACCTGCAGAACTAGACAATTATCTCTTCAGGCACTTGCCATTTGGCTAAACCAAGTTTAATAGTTTCATTTCATTACTTATACAAAAGCAACAAAATTCCAGTCTTTATAGGTGCTTCGGCAGATTTCCACATGAAAGAAGTGCGGAAACAGGAATTTACACGTCAGTCATCTCACTAAGAGAAAATGCCATATTTCTTCTCCAATTCTTCAACAGAAGTGTTTTTCAGTCCCATGTGGTTCACATGATTGAACAATACCTGTGTAACTGTAAAAGAAAATCCCAACATAAACTGTTATTTTTGTTACTCACACTCTTAAGGTAAATTAGTCCAATTCTTTCCCCAGTGAGAGTTAAGGGTTGGATTGTACAGCTGAAATATGAGTAAATTTTCAGAACTACTGAGAGGATGAAAAAAAAAGTAGCAAAGGGAACCTCTCGCTTTATTTTGATGCCCACGAGCTGCCTAACAACATTTCCTTAAACAGGTGTATCATCCTGACACCATAAACCGATAGCCTTTTTCTTTACGCTCTTGGCACTACGCCACCAAATGCAGAAGAAAGTTAATGCCAGATGGCAGATAAAGCTTACATCAGGTTAAAAGCGTGAATGCCATTTATAAGAGGAATTTACCTGCACTTCAGTAAGTCAAGCAAGCAATTTTCTTTTCACATATTAAAATTTCAAAAGTATAATGGTTATTAGTGAAACTCAGCTGTAGATAGTAAATTTGACATTATTTGGTCCCAGAGAAATATTTTGCTCTAAGTGTCTCACTGTGACATAGTCTGTCTGGTGTGCTAAATAAAGAAAATTTTTTGAGACAAAAACACTTTTATAAACTCTGAACTGAAGCCAATGTCAACCTGAATTGCAAACTCATTGAAGCGATGCCTCAAGAACAGGACAGACAACTAGGCTGAGTGATTTAGAGACGTTTGTATTCTTTTTGCCAACAGTAAAGTCAGGATTGCCAAGAAATGGTTGTAAATTGTGGAAACTGTGTCACTTGGATACCTTGCATCTCAGATACAAGATTCCATACAAATTCATAAATTTGTAACATGACCAGCTACGAACTGAAATGCTAGAGAAGCTTATTTTAACAGACTAAAATGCAGCGGTATTACTGACAAAACCAAGAGGATTTAGCTGCAGTTTTCAAGTCTTAACAGTAGACAATCAAAAGATTAAGAAAAATTACATGATGTCATATTAACTTCTAAAACAATAAAAAAGCAAGGCACTTAACTAATCTTAACTGATTATTACATGTAATAAACAACAAGAATAGGACTAAATTTTAGGTGTTTCTTCCTAGATTCTACAGTATCACAAATGAAGTTTAAAAAGATACTACAGAATTACTTACTTTTTTTCTCTGAGCCTGACATAAACATTACTGCCATATGAAATCTTTTTAATTCAGATAGCCTTTGGAGGATTTCAAGGATGAGCGACGGCTCCTCTTTCCTGAAGAAGAGTATTAGAAATATAAAAATAACTACAGTTGATTAAAAAAATTCAAGAGCTGCAAGCAATATTAAAGACCTCAGGAAAAGAAATCAAAGGACCAATGGAATTCCCATCCCTGTCTTTCTCATATTCCCTGTTCATTCTTCCACCCACAAAGCAAAATGTCAATGTCCAGAAAACTTCATGCAAGTATTACTCTGATACAGAGCAAGAGTGAAGAAAAATAAAAACTTAGACTGATGCAAATTGACTGCTGTTCAAGTACAGAATGGCTATTATACGATTTAATGCTTACACCTTGCCATAACATCACTATTTTTATACGCAATTGGGGTGTGCGAGGGGAAGCAGCACCTGTGGTCATCGGAAGCTCAGCCAAAAGGACAACATTAGTTACCATCATTTTTATCCATACAGAAAACTCCTAGATTGTACTCATTTTACACTCTTCTGGTCAACAGTAAACAGGCACTGTCATTGTTACAAATACTAACAACAAATGGTATTTTTCTTTCGTAACTTGTCCTGTCTCCCTCCAGAAGAAATGCCTTTTACCTTATTGCAAACAATTTCAACTCGCTAGCTTTTACATGTCATACCACAAAATGTAGAACCGTATCTCTTAAGATGTCATGTTTCACCCCTGGATATTTACTTTTTAAAAAAAACAACGGAAAGGCCAACATTGATTTACATTTGCTTTTCTCCATAAACCACGACCGTAAAAACATTCTGAGCGTGTGCTCTGAGAAAGTAATTCAGAGAAGCGGCACACTGCATCTGACAGGCAAAATGAACTTTAAGATTCAAATCGTAGCACAGACAGAAATTTCAAAAATAATTGTCAGGTCCTGTCTTATCAGAACCTCTAGCTCCAACACACATTTACTACAGGCTACTGTGAAATACTAGTAGGTAATTAAAAATAAAGGTCAGAATGCATCACAATAAGCACTGCACAAAAAAGAAACCCTCTGTATTTCTCAGCTTTAGAAAGTTAATATAGAAAGCTAATATCGTGCAATTATATATGATAACAGAACATACACAGCAGTAGGAACAAAAAATACTTCATACAGTCAATTTTCAGTTTCTGAAATTTAGCAGAAGTGATTTTAACATACAGTAAAGGCTATTTCTTTACCTCTTTTCTACGTGATTTTTCAGGATATGTTTAATTTCTTAAGACGAAACAATTGAATCATTCCAATTATTGCATCATGCTCCTGTAATGCTGCATGCTGCAAATAATTTTGTAAGCCCAAGGGTAGGGCTAGGGAAAACAAAACAAAAAAAACCCAAGGCAAAAAACTGAATAACAATAAGCAATGTAAAACAAAGGAGGAGTTAAACTTACTCAATGTAGAAATCATGTAGAATTTTCAGTATCTGGTTAAACAAGTCTGGATCTAAGGATTTCTGGAACAGTTTTGGATAAAGCGAAGGCTCTATTTGCTTTGGAAAAATTAAAAGAAAGTTTTATTTTTAGGCAAAAAGCCACAGTTGAGTCATGACAATTAGAAATGAGTTTTTAGGGTGTTTTGGACAATGCTGAAGAGCATGAAAGAAAAAAAAAGTCACTTGCACTATTTGATGTTGAACATCGATTTTGGGTTTTGTTTGGGTTTTTTGTGATGGTGATTGCTAACCTCTTAAAAGAATTCTAAGCAATTATTGTGCAAAATATACATACGCAGAAGTACACATTAAGTAGACTGATGTTTCAAGCACTTGTTCAGTTTAAAGAGATAAGAATGTTTCTATGTCTAACTATCCCAGAGGCATTCATTTGAAAAATTAGAATTTAACGTTGTTACTAATGTACTTAAATCTTTACAGAATCAGGCCCTATGTCTGAAAGAAAAGAGATGATGCAGAGACTGCACTCAAAATGAGGCAAGTGAAAAGTCAAGCACAAGAGGAGAAATACTCAAACGTAGATCAAACTACTTAGTATTACGTGAAAGCAACTAAAGAAAGGGACTATCGTACACTGTCAAGCCACTCTAAGCATAGCTACCCTTTCCACCTAAGCTTGTGCTGTTTCTTCAATGTCAGTTGAAGAAATTGTCCAAGCACTGTCAATCAATATTGTGTTTCATACCTTCAGGTACAAATACAAATTTTCCGGGCAGTCTTTCAACTTCCTGAAGTCAGACTCAAGCTGGAAAGAATTTGCAGGAATGGCAGGGACTGGAGAAGTGGAGCTAAACAACCTTTTGACTTCTTTTTCTCTCCGTTTGTTCACAGGGAAAGATGGTTGCGACACTGATGAAACTCCTTTCACACTAGCAGGAAGCCTGCAGAGAAATTTTGAAACACACAATCAGGAAAACATTTAAGGAAATCCTACACTGAGGCCTAATTGCAAATCTTTCAATTCATTAAAAATCTAAAATACTATCAAAATATTTAAAAATAACACATCTTAGCTTAAGCAGGTATCTAAAAAGACCCTTAAAATTATGGAAGCTTTACCCATCTTTCCTCAAAAAACACACCTGCAAATACTTACAAACATATTCATCGTTTCTCTACTTTTTTTTTCCTGGAAATAACTACATTTTATGGTACAGATTTCGACTATGCACAGCTACAAACAAAATATTACATTTTCTGCAATTTCATGATACAAAACAACCATTTCAAGTGAACAAACCGTTTTCAACACTGATTACAGTGGAGCTATTCTTGTCGTACAATTTGTCAGTTCAAGTCCATTTATTTTTCAGAAGTTATAAAATCGCTAAGAAATATACTTTTTTCTTCAATGCTTCACAGTAAATCCATCTAAGCTGGAAGAGGTGGGTGCAGGAGCGTGTTTCTCAGACAGAATTTCACAAAAAGTGTTTACTATTAACAGAATGAGATGATGCCAATGCATACAGAGCTTTCCTAAGCAGAAAATAAGTAGAGTTCCAATTCTCAAGCAGGGCCAAAGATAGGATAGTGGCTTCTATGCTTCAGCCTAGTTTCAGCCAGCCAGACTTGAGTGTGCCTAGCTAACACAGCAGAACTTGAATAAACCTGAAGTTATTGGCTTCCTGCTCAGCAGAGGAAAGAATGGTGACAGTCTCATCTACTCCTTTTCTCTCACACAACTGGTGTGCAAAGAATGTTTGATTTCTGCTCAGAATATACTCTGAAACATTACAAATAAAAATCACAGCTAAGGAAGATGAAGCGCACAAGGAAGAGTCTATGGCATACAGGAAAATATTATGAATTTCTTTATATTTGAAATTAAAGAACAAGACTAGTTTCCCTGACACTAAATATATCATACTTGTCTCAACCACCACATGATCAAAGAGGCAGGTGTATAAGAACTGCAGTTTCCTTCAATACCTTCTCCTTAATTCAAATTCTCCAAAATATATTTGATACCTCATCACATTTAGAAATCTGAAAATGAAGATTGCATTTCAACTACACTTACCTTTTAAAAAGAGGATCAAAATTTTTAAACTTACTGTAACGGGGACGTATCACTGATTTCTTCTATCTTCAAATGCTTTGCTTTTGGAATGTCCATTGTAGTCAACTGATCATCCTGATCTAGATTCTCTGTTGTTTCAACACTCATTGAATCCCTCCAGTTATTGACTAAGGTAGTGGTGCTGGGCAAATCACTATTTGGTGTGTCATCATCAATTTCTTCAATGGCTATTCTTCGCAAAGGCTTCTGAAGAGAACACACACCTCGTCACATGTGTAGCCTCAACATCAGTGTATATACAGGCCCCAGATAAACAGCTGTGCTTAATTTTAAATAATCTCATGAAAGCCAGTTTCATCTGTAGTGATGCACATGGAAGATACTTTCAATAAAGATAAATGGCAAAAAAGGAAACTTCATGACATTCTACAGGAAGCCTTATATGATTATCCTATTACTCTACCCTCAGATCAGTATAACCTCCCTCTAGAGGATCTCAGAATCTGCATTCTGTTTTCCAAGTAATAATAATTAAAAAAAAAGTTTATCTTTCCCCCCTACCAAGGTTGAATGAGCAAGGACTACCATGTATTTTGACCAATAACCTGATCAAGCTTTCTAATTTAGCTAAACAAGTAAGTATCCAGCAACACAGACCTTGACTCTCAACTTAAAATTTTGGTATTATAAATATCTGTAACTCAGCCCTGCTGGTTGACCAAGTTCATATATGATAAGGCAATTAATTGCAATTCCATCTCTAGACGACAGGCTAACTAAAATGCTTCAGTTTGTTTGATCTCCGCATGATCACCATTGTTTTTGACCATCATCTAGCACCACCTTCACAGGTCTCACAAGAAAGCACAATTTGGGGTGTGTCGGGGGGGAATTCATCACCTTTTACTTTGGAATTTCATTTCATGAACATGAACATAATGTACATTGGTCTACAAATACAGATGCAAACACACACAAACATACTCAACAATTTAGTCTTCTAGAAATTGTAAATTTGTCTGTTCAACTCTAACACAATCCCATCACACATCTTCACAGCAGTTTGCAAACTGCTTTAAATTATGCTAAAAACACACCTGTCTTGTGAGACAGACAATACACAGTTTGCTTTGACAATGTACCGTCTCATCAGTGTGCTAGGACTGCCTGGTGGATATGAAAAAATTACAGTTCTCTGCAATCCTTGGGCAGTACTAAAAGCACAAATGCTTCACCTATACTTGTTCTACCTTAACAGAACAACAAGGAAAAAACAATTAACCTAGCATCTCCACTTAATTTAGCAGCCAGACTGAAAACTTTGTCTATAGTATTTCAGCTACTCCACAAAAAATTCATTTAGATTTCTAGAAATATTGTATCTGGTTACAGAGAGTGCATAATACTTCCCCCCACCAAAAAAAAAAAAAAAAAAAAAATCAAAGTAATCACACATTTTCTACTAAAACTATCCATCCGAATTATATATTTAATAGAGGTAAACAAACATTTTGAAATCATTACAAGCAGAACACTATAGTACTCCATACAAAGTGTGAACGCTTTGTATTTACACAACTCACTGCTGAATGTATAAAGATTAAATGTACTAAAAGGGGAAAACCTAATACTGGTATTACTCTCTGTATTGAACATTTTTTGTTATATGTAACTCATCAATTTGGCTATAACCACTGATAATTCATAGTCCAAAAATAGTGCTTCTTGAAAATCAATACCCAGCTATTCTTCAGCTTATGTGGATGAAAATGCAGGCTCGAAACTGTTGCAGTAGCCCTAGGTGACATCAGCATGTGACACAGCTAGGCAACATGTCTTGTTACCACTACAGCTGCTACAGAAACTGTAAACAGCAGATGGAAAGAAGGAAAGTTTTTACCCAGAGCTTTCTCAAGTCTGCAATCAAACATGGAGACTCAACTGGCTCCCCTTTACTCTCAACTACACTATTCGCTATGGACCCAGCGCAGGGCTGTGGGGCTGCCCTCCCATTTTGTATTACACATACAGGCACAGACTGTGTTTCCCGAGCGTGGTACTGTAGGCTGAATGCTTACACCACCACCACTGTTAGACACAAAGGGAAAAGCTGAAGTTATGTTCTTGAAAAATACCAAAAGAGTAAATCTGTAAATTTGGGGCTTTCCACAGGCAAGATGTATCTATCAGGACTTAGTCTACATACATAAGCAAAAAGTGGATTTTAACTTTAAGGTCTACTTTTCTCATCATTATATAAAGCAAGTCACAAAACAAAACAACTTACTGTTGATTTCAGGTGTAATGGATTATCAATCAGTTTCACTATATTTTTTATTTCTGTTTCTTTTATCAATACTGCAGGATACCCTTGATGAGTCTGCTGCTCTTTCTCAGCTAATTCCTGAAAAAAATGGTAAGTTTCCAAGATCAAAAGTTTAAGGAATAATTATAAGATACATTAAAAATGTTATAAAGGATGAAAACATTTTATTACTACAGGCTTACAAAAAAAAAAAAAAAGCAGCACAAGTATACATACATTCCTTATCTTAGTGAGTTCATTTATTGCTTGTTTATTTCCAGGTTCCAGCTTCAGAACAGCTTCAAAATCTGAGTGAAAAAGCAACATACATAACCAACAGACATTTCAAGTTACAAAGTACTCCTGGCAAATTTTTAAACCTTCTATTTTCCTTTCACAGCAGTATAATAATTAAAGGCAGGTAAGTCATCTTAATGCTTACATCACGACCTAGTTTTCAAACACACTTTTCAAACTATTTTTTACCACTTGTCATAAGCAGCAACACTTGTAATTTCACACAAAACTGTCTTCCAATCATGCGGATACCAACAATGAAGTTTTTATACGTACTCAATGAAACACAAGAGAACCCCACCATTCTTCTGCACTGATAACCTCAATTAGTCAGCAATTGATTTAATTACTATTAGAAGATAAAACAACCTCAGGATGTTCTCATACTCATTTCTTACCTATCACACTTAGGGTAATTCAAAGTCCTACCTTCTATAGCTTCCTTTAGCTTTCCAAGAGCAACTCTGGCAGCTCCTCTTCTAGCAAAGGCTTTAGAATAGGAGGCATCTAAAAGCAGGGCTTGTGTACAGTCATTTTCTGCCTCTTCATATCTCAGCAAAAGAGCAGTACAAAATTAATAACCATTTTCAAGAGTCAGTTTCAACTGAAAAGCAGAGCTACCCAAAACAACTAAAATACGAAGAGAGATCTTAATTACCCATGTACCTACAAATACACAGCACTGAGCTAAAATGTAAAATGAAAGTAAACATATAAGATACGATTTCTCAGCACCTTGAAATTGCAGCCAAATCTTTTGGTATCTCAAGACACACTGCTGACTCTCTTTTTATCATCACAGAGAAATTCACTTCCTCTGTGAAAATAAACCCTTAAAGCCTGTCAGAGCAGAGTCCAGTTTAAACATTACATAGGC